AGTTTCTCTGAGCTCACTGAAAATGAATTAATCCTGGTCCAGTCTGCAACTTACACAAGTATGATGTAGTGTGATGTAGAAACCTGAAGCCACCAATGCACAGACACAGAGAATGAGCTTTACAGTGAAGCAGGAGACATATTGAGTCCAGCAGGAACACTTTAGATATTAACAAAATATGTATATTCATAGACTCATAAAATGTCAATGAGGTAAAAGTACTATGTGAAAATTAAACTTTTTCAGAAACATATTATTGTTCCAAGCAGATTATTGTATATATGTCTTAATACATATCTGGAGGGGGTCTTTAACTTAAAGTCACAAAGATTCAATGTCCTTGTTTTGACAATGTAAGACATGTTAAAATATATCCCCCCAGTCACCCTCACCCTGCCCCATCTCTCTCTCTCTGTCCACAATCTATAAATAAATCATGTATTAAATGCATTGACAGTAGGCTATATATAATGCATTAAATTAATACAAAAGGCATTTTACATTAGGGTTATTATTAAGTCATAACAATGAGTCACAAAAGAAGCTTCACATTATCTGGTAACATATTTCAGATTCAGTGTCTAATAGCACTTAAAATATGGAAATTCAACCCCAGGAACAGTTTTTACCCCCAAAAAACTGATGAAAGAAATGTTGAATAATGAGCCCTATATCTTTGTATGTCCTGGTTCATTATTGAATTCATATTTATGTGTTTTTATTTCCATCTTATATTATATTTTTTATACATTTATAGCCTATTTGACCATGTTATGTGTTTGTTCCTACCAAAAATGATCTGATTTATACAAAAAAATGTAAGTAAACAAAACAAATGTTCAATTTCAGACTGTGTGTGTGTGTGACCCTCTACCCCAGCATAGATTATCCAGATCATTCCCATTGTATCCTCTTGTCTCAACACATGAATCCAAAACATGGAAGTTTGTTTTTGCTTAATTTCAACACTGAGTACATTTTTATTTTCTCCTGTATTATTACAATCTCCAGCCTTGAACCTCTGCCAGCAGGTCCACAACCACAATGCTGACTGAAGAAGATGATGATGATGTTGAGCTGTGGTCTCTTCTTGCAGCCACAGCGCCACCTGCTGCAGCACAGAGGCAGTGCAGGTGTGTTAACGTTAATGCTGCATTGGCACTGAGCTCTGCCCATGAGTCAGCGTCGGAGCAGAGCTGCAGGTCAATGATCTCTGATTAATATCAATGTATTAGTTCTCTCCTCGAAAACACCCGCAGCAGATGAGACAGGCTGCCTTTCTCTCTTTATTTTTTTGCATTTGTTTTATATTCTGGTGCTAATTTGTTTTCTAAAACGAACCATGGATCAGTTTCGGGGTTTATTTGTTAAACTGGATCAAAACAATGATGGATTCATATCAGTGGAGGAGCTCCACAACGAGATGAGGAAGCATGGGGTTCTCTCAGCGGATGGCAAGGTCCAGGTAATACTCTTAATAATCTGTCTTTCTTATTTTGTAAACAACATATAGCCTACTGTATGTGTACTGTATGTGCAGGGCTTCATTTCACTCATTCATTTTCCTCCCTTTAGAATATCATTGATTCTTATGACAGAGACAAAGATGGCCTGCTGGATTATAAAGAGTTCCTCAGCTACATGATGGACAGAGAGAGGAAATGGAAAATTTACTTCCATGACCTTGACAAGAACAAGTGTGGTGAGTGCTCGGAGCCATACCTCTTTTATATATATATGTATATATGTATATATGTATATCAAGTGCACTAGCCTTGTTGAATACATGCTATAAACACTATGTAATGAGTTTTGAATCTGTTTTTAAGCATTACACCTGCTATTCTTTCTCCTTTAAACACCATACTGTGTTTGATGTAGCTGATGAGTAGTCCTACTGGGGCATATTCTTTATAAACTACAATAAATGTTAATTCTTTGACAATAAACTGGTTTTTCAAGGTCAGACAGGAAATGTAGACGTTGCATTAAACCTGTGGACCAGCGTGTGTGTAGCGGGTTGCATTTGTTTATTGTACACAGTAGATAATACACTGTACCATACTGCAGACTGCGAGCGACCGTTGCACTCATAGCGTTTGCAGTATCACTTCCCAGAAAACCTTTAGCACAGTCATCACTTGACACCTTGCAGAGTGTAACTGGAGGAACAAGTACCAGTATCTGTTTGTAATTTTGTGCATTTCTTCTCTGATCAGGAGTGATTGACCAGGACGACATCATATGTTTGTTTAAGGAGTTAGGAGTGGTCATATCAAAGCCGAATGCAAAAAAAATTATTCAAATGTAAGATATATTTTTGCCCACTACCTCATGGATTCATTGTTGCATTTAAACAAACATTAAACACAGTTTAAAACACATTTCACACACATTAGTGCTTTCTAATCAGGTGTTATACTGTAAAGATGACATCACTCTACAATAAGGTATACTAATATCTATATATAATATCTATTAATGCTTAAGAATCAGTGATACACATCATAATACAAGTAAAATAATGTCTCTACAAGCGTTTATTAATAAGTAGAAATACACAGATATGACTACAGGCTTTAAGGCTTATTATTAGATGGAAAACCTTCATTAATGATCAATAATGAAATTTTAAATCCTTTATTAGTATGCTTTTCTGTAAAGTGATGCTTTAGACACCGTTTATGACAAAAGACACAGCTGGTTCTTCATTACATCGTGTGATGAAACCAACAGAGCATTGAGTGTTTGCCACCGCTGTTGTTGTTGTTTTTCTATTGGGAACACCAGGATGGACAAGGACAGCTCGATGACAGTGGACTGGGGCGAGTTCCTGCACCACGTCATCCTCAACCCTGTGGACAACATTGGGGAGCTGGTGTCCTCGTGGAAACACAGCCTGGTAAGATCTTCTGGCAGCATCCCTCTGATTCTGTAACACTTCAGCAGAGCAGAGGTGTGCACAAAACTATGACTGTCCACTTAAGCGTGAGTAATAACACACCGATAAAAAGGATGATAAATGTTGTTTGCTGTAGGTTTTCGATGTGGGTGAGAGTCGTGCAATGCCCCTTGAGTTCCCTGAGGAGGCCTCTGGTTTTGGTGCATGGAGAACGTTTGTTCTCGCAGCCGGATTGGCTGACGCCGTGTCCCGAAGTGCGACGGCACCCATCGACCGCCTTAAAACACAACTTCAGGTCAGCTGCTACTTTGTTGGTAATGAAGGGACTACTTTAATTTGACTCATCTAATACATTTTTGAATGTGAGATCCCAAACAAATACCCATAAGGTGTTATTTGTTTGTTAATTCTACTAAATGGAAGTAAATTAGACTAATAACACACAAACGCCTAAGAAAACACCTCCATGCATGCATTAGTTTTTAGATGGTTATGAAACCGTCTCAATTTAATAATGATGCCTCTATATGAGCACCGTTGGTCTGAAACCGTTGGTCTGAAACCTCACATTAGGTCTATTTAGCGAAATAATCTAAACTCAAAGGTCCTCTTACTAGCTTATTAGCTCACAGTGTAACTTGTTCTACTTGCTGACTGAAGAAGATGAGCTGTGGGTTAAAGCTCTGGAAACTAGCAGCTGGTCCTTTGAGTTTAGATGGCTGTGAATGTGTATGTACATATACTATTCCTAAAGGTTGACAATGAACTCCATGAACTACCTTTTTGTTTGAGCATTTAACATCTGATCTAATATTCTCTAATGTAGATTCTGTTCCTACACTTTCTCAGTAGGTAACTTTACAAAGCCAAACAAACTTAAATCAGAAGTGTCTTGATCTTCGTAATAAATAATAATAGAAGACGTGTTGCTACAATAAAAAATAATAGCTGACCCTGTTTTACTTTACTGTGTCGGCGAGTAAAGACGTTAAAGCGTTATCAGCCAGCCTGCCTTGTTTTACATACTGTCTGTTCCTGATACTGGAAGAGCATTAAATTGACTGCATGTGGAAATCATTAACTTGTATGAGAAAGAGAACAGGCTAAAGGATTTATGGGTCTCATCATATGTGTTTAATGCTGTTTTAATAAGTCAATATCTTTTATACACTTAAAGTATCTCTGAGAAAGAGTTCAATCTACATAAATGCTAATGTTTCTCTGTAGCTGACTTTGACATTTGTGGAAGTGAACACAGAAGGTCTCACAGAATCATTACTGTCCTCCTTTAGTTTCATACTGTCGCTTTAAAAGAAACACCCTGTTATTTTTGTAGCATCTGCCTATGAAAGTGATTCATATGAAAGTATGTCCTGCGTGCTCTGTAGGTTCATGGATCCAAGGCCTTCTCCCAAGGCTTCCAGGAGATGAAGGCAGGGGGTCTGCGGTCGATGTGGCAAGGCAACGCTGTCAACGTGCTCAAGGGAACGCCACAGTCGACGCTACAGTGCCTCATCTACGCCCAGGTGAGGCAAACAGTAGCAGACCGCCTCTCTTTGGTATGAATTATTGATGTACCGGTTTCCTATTTCTAATTGATAAACCCACTCAGAGCTTCTCAACTTTGTCCAGATGAAGGTGTACACCCAAAACAGAACACAGGAGACTCTGACGGTGCAGCAGCGCTTTGGCTTGGGTTGTGTGTCCGGCGCCGTTGCTCACGCTGTCTTCTACCCTTTAGAGGTATCAGAGATCAGTGGCAGGTCTGAGTGCTTTAACATTTCTGTCCTGTCCTTTGCCGTAACATCTGAACATTGTTAAAATGTTTATTTTTTTAATGTCAGTGTGTTATTGCCAGATTAGTATTGATGCATAGGTTTAATTACTGCAAACACTAATATCATGCACTTGGGTGCTTTCAGGAGTCACCAGGAGGAAAATGCTCATTCATAAGATCTTTGGAGATTCTGGGCAACTATAATGTGCACAGAAAGATTAAAAAAATACCTGCACACTGTAAGCTTGATGTACAAACTGTACTCTTTCACTTTATTCAAGAGGTGAAAAGTGCTGAATGTGAGATTTACACTCTGTTCTGCTCCTTTCACATACTTTATACTCACATTATAAGAAACTGAAATGTTCCCATAACTTCTAAAAGATGTTGCAATGTGTTACAGGCCATAAAGCCATAAAGCTGTAAAACAACAGATTTTTATACCAAATCTGACCTGACGATCTCCTCGTTAACACTCTCCTTTGCAGTAATAACACCAATGTCTCAAATGGCTGTGATAATGATTCATGTAATGAAGCAGCATATTATTATTATATATTATTAAATACAGATTTAATTTGTGTTTATCATCTAAATTGATAATAATGTAAAAAAAATGTGACATTTTAGGAAAAGCTGCAGTCTGAGTTTTAATTTTGTAGCATTCACATTTTTTAAATAGCAAATGTTTTGAATGAAACTCCTCATTTGAATTTTAATTCTTATGAATGTGTGTGAACATGTGTTTCTACCAGTAGAGCTTTTGTTTTTCTAATGTCTCTTCTTATCTCCCCCCTGCAGGTGTTGAAGGTGAGGTTAAACCTGCAGCAAGCTGGCACCTACAATGGCGTCGCGGCATGCGCCCGATCTATTTACAGACAGGAGTCAATGTCCTCCTTTTACAGAGGATTCAAGCCGAGCATCCTCTGCATGATTCCCTACGCGGGGGTGGAGTGTGCAGTTCATCAGGTGAGACAGAACGACGCTCAGAGATCGAATACATCTTCATGTGAAAGATGCTTTATCGTTAACTATTTGCATCTTATTGCAGTCGATCATGAACTGGGCGAAGAGCGATCCGGCCTACAACAGTGACTCCAAACTGTTTTTCTTCAGTTTTGTGGCCTTTGCTTCTGGACAAATGACCAGTTACCCGCTGGCAGTGATCCGCACTCAGCAGCAGGCACAAGGTAAAGATCCTTGGGTCGTCTGCGACACATTTCAGATTATTTGAAAACGTTTGAAGATGTTTTACTCATTTAAGCAATCTGTCTTGTTTTCCAGCTTTCAGCTCAGATTCACGTCCAGCTTCAGGTGTGTTACAGGGACTCGTAGGGATATACGAAAGACGTGGAATTAGAGGATATTACAACGGAATGGGAGCCAGCTTCGTCAGGGCGATTCCTTGTGCTCTGATAAACTACACTTTAACTAGAAAATTTGAAAATCTGTTTTCTTCAACAGAATCTTGAACGTGGTAAAGAGTTTTCTTTCTTTTGTGCTTCTGCTGCTTTAGGAACACAAAGAAAACAAAAACTGTGAACTCTTAATCATCCAAAAACAACTGGAATCCTTTAAACTAAAATGGCGCTGAGGGTCCAATCTGCAGAATTTACACTATCATGTGAATCATGATACATGTTTACTAACCAGGAGCATGTTGACGTCTTTTAATACAGCATACCTCACTTAGTGCTGAATAATCTGAAATTCACAATGTGACCAAGTGTAATAATTGCCCTCTCTAACCTGGGCTGTGTAAATGAGGATAAGCTGTACAATAAAATGTTATTTCATAACAAGAATCTTCTTTTTTTAATTATTTAGTATTATGTTTGTTTCTTTGTTATGAGCTGAACTGAATGTGTGCAAATATTTGTATTTAAACAAATCAAAAGCAGATGTTGGATTTTAAAGTGTTATGACTGCTTTTATTTATTTATTTATCTATGTAACAAGTCACAGTTTATAGTAAGGCAGCACATTATAGGGAAAACTCAAAACGTTACACATAAAGTTATAAAGTTTAGACGAAAGCATGAAAAACATTACAAACTATTTCTTGTTAAAGAACGAGCTACAAAGGCATATTACTTCAGATAAATGTGAGAAACAAGTCAATAAGTACATTTACTTAAGTACAAATTCCAGGTTTACTTAAGTATTTTCCTTTTACGGTGGTTTAAAGCTAAACTTCTACTGAACTACATTTCAGAGGGTACTATACTTTGATTGACTGTAGTTAGAAATAAAGGTTTTTTATACAAAATATGATGGATTATTGTAGATTTCAATAATCTCTAACATTCAAAAACTAATTATAATCCAATAATATAACTCTGTCAGTGTCCACTCTGCTTTTGATTCTTTCTACATTTTGCTGCTAATATATTCCACCTCAACAGGCTATGGGAGTAATTGATTACATGTAACTGAGTTACATAATCAGGATAAAAAAAACAACAGGTAACTGTAATCCATTACAGTTACAGAAAGTAATCAGATTACAGTTAGTAAAAATGGGGATTATTTTAAACAGGATTACAATTTCACAATACATCACAAGCGGATCACACAATTTATTTTTTAAACCTTTCCATCTTCTTCTCAAAGGTGACATTGTTCTGTCGTCTTATTGAATACACTTCTTATACTCAATACTTATTATTAACATTTATTTTTGTTTTTATCATCATCATCATATCGTCATGTTTGTTTCCATTAAATCGGGCTCTCGAAAAAGGAATGAATGCGTCTATTGTTTCAAATGCTTTCAGAAAAACAGAAAAACAAATTACTCAGAAAAACAGAAATAATTAATCAGAAAAACAAACCAAAAAATAAATTTCCAAGTGAATGCAATATGTGTCCGTAGGATGGAAACAAACTGGGCTGTAATAAAAATATCTTTGCTGTAACAGAACGAAACAATAAAGTGAACTGTAACGACAAACAAAGCCTCACCTGTAACCTGTAAACCCCCCCTCACCTGTAACCTCCCCCT